GTAAAGATTTGTTCCCTCTTTTGAGTTACTGCATTCATAGTTGTAGGTCAAGTTCATCAAATTGTATCAGATTACTCTTTTTTTCCTCTTCTTTCTTCTTTGTGCTGCATTTTATACTATGGGTGAACATTTGACTTAGGAAAGATCCATTAGCAAATATGTGTAAATATCTATGAGGCTTATATATAACTAAAGTGCAGTCAGTCCATTTACTAAATATATTCTAAGTGCTTGATATTTGCCTGGTATTGTGCTAGGCCCTATACCCAGGACTGGGAACAATGGCCAATAGACCAAACCCATCGTCTTTTGTAAATAAAGTTTTATTTGAACACAACATGTCATTTGTTTACATATTTATTACCCATGGCATTTTTCATGCTGTAGTAGCAATTTCAGTAGTTGTAGTAGAGACCACTTGGCTTCCCAAACCTAAAATGTTTGCTGCCGCCTAATTCTAAACAGATCAAATTTCCAACCTTAAGGCCCTTATGGAAATATAACTGTAATGGAAATATAACTTGCCTGTTACAGGTGTTTTGATTCAAATCATCTCTTCTAGCTCCTGGAGAAGGATTTGCTCATCAGCAGTCTTGTGAAGCTCATGGTGAAAACCCTGTGTGAGCCTGCGAGCATGGGCTTTAATACAGGAGATGTCCAGGTCATGGATCGCCTTCCTAGTGTGTGTGTGAACCTGATGGCAGCCCTGAAGAAGCTACCATATGAAGACATCCTAAAGGCACACCTCCAGGAAAAAATACCATTGCAGAGGTAGGCCATGTGCTTGTGTGTCTGCACATATGTGATCATGGCAACCCATGGCCCTTTCTTGAATAAAGGATGAAAACTAAAAACAATAAACAAACACAGAACAGTTGATAAGAGACATCAGTTTTTTGAAGATCAGCTATTTAGCAAAAGTCCTTCCTGTAGCTTAGGAGAAGCAGGAATCCAGTATGGTTCAGCACCACATTTGATTTCCATGGCTAAATTAGGAGCTGAAGCTCTTATTGGTGCCAACTTGTGTTTGCAGTGCAATTCCACACTACTAAATTTGAATACTAGGCAGTTAGTAAATGTGTGTACCATGAGTGTACACAGCTTTCCAGCAGATCCTGGTAATTTAATGACATCAGCCCTCACTTATATATCTCTTTTTGTTTTTCTGACATGGCCAGCATTGAGGACCTTTGTGCTATTGACCTGTATGACCCTGATGCTCATGTGGACAGGACCAAGCTGGCTTCTTTGGTGTCAGCATGTAAACATCTTAATAAGGCCGGGTTCTTGCATGCTATATTACCATCACAGGTAAACCTTCATAACCAATTTGGTTTTACATCTGTTTGATCTTTACTATTTAATCTATGCATTTATTAAGGACATTCTTTCTCTTTGGGACATGCCAACATGGGAATTACAGGCAAACTTGCTCCAGACAATTAGAACTATAAAAGCAAAGATAAATATTTATGAATATAAGATTAAAGTAAAATAAGTGAATAGAGGTAAATTCTGTTAATTGGTGGTACATGGAGGAAACTGCAGTCATTGCAATGAAACAGAACATAGGTTTTGTTGAATATGGAACTGATTGTCTACTCTGAAAATCTTCACTTAGTTCACAATAAAACGTTAAAGAAACAAAATCATACGGTGTAGTGCATCAGAATATATGAAAAAGAGAGAAGGTAAAATATAGGCCATTTGGATATTTGTAGAACAACTTGCTAAAGAACTTTAGGAGTTAACTGCTAAAGTTCCTTTGTGGGCAGACAATGTAGTTGAAAGATTAATGTAGAAAGTTGAGTTAATTTTTCTCTTAAGTTTATACTTTGTAAGGTGATTATCAGTGTTAAGGAGCATAGTAAGTTGTGAAATTGTTTTTTATCTGTAAAGTATGCTTTGCTGGGCATTTCACTGTTGGCTCTGTTTTAGTCTGTACATCTACAGCATTCTATTGGTACACAACTTCTCTCCATGGTTTATAAAGACATCGCACCTGGACATGAAGGACAACGTCTTCCTATGCTCGATACCAGCTGTAAGCGACTCGCTAGTGGGCTCCTGGAGTTGGCCTTTGCCTTTGGAGGACCGGTAGGAAGAACAGCTACTTGATGGGTTGCCTTGGGCGGGTAGTGGTCACTCCATGTCTGATGTGGTGGGGTTTAGTTAGGTCAAGTCTGAGTTGTACAAGTATTCTTTATGATTTGTGTGAGTGGACTTTCTCTTACTCTCTTTCTATTTTTAAAATTTTATTATTTTTTGTAAGAAATAAAGCAGCATTCTTCTTAAAGTAGTGTTGTCGATCTGTTTTTGCTTCCAAAGGAATTTTAGAGGGCATTTTTTGAGCACTCTGTTGACAAATGGCCTCTCCTTCCATATCTTTGGTGATTCTTGGGGTAGGTCATTTAGAAGGACCTCCAGAGGTGATTCCAAAAATACCAGGTGCTACAGAAATGTCCTCGCAGCTGTTTTACGTATTTAAACTTTCTAATAAAGCTTGCTCTCCTTTTGAAACAACAAACCCTATCACCACCATCTTCTGGAGTTTGGCAGAAACATAGACCTGGAGAGTTTTCTTGTCCAAAAGGAAAGCTGGCAGATGGAGGCTAATTAAATTAGTTTTGTATATGCGATTTTTATGTGGTATCCATTAGGGTTTTAAACTAGAGCCCAGGCCTTCACATAATGAACTCTTTTTAGACCATGGTGCATGATTTTCGAACTTCAGTTAGCAGCTTACTGAGAATGTGCAAATGCGTTTTCCTATTATCTCGTCTTTCCTTTGCTCTTCACAGTGTGAGCAACTGGTGGGCCTCCTTCTGAGCAAAGCAGTATTGTCCATGCCATCCTCGGGCCCGTTACAGAGAAACATCATCAGCTTCTCCCATGGAGAGTATTTTTATAGCTTGTTCTCAGAAACTATCAACTCTGAATTGATGAAAAATGTAGATGTTGCTGTGATGGAGCTCATGAAATCATCTGAAGAGAATCCCAAAATGGTACTGTAGTTTTCTTTTATGTAAATATTTTCTTACATAATGCTTATAAACGGATTGACATATTCTTGAAATGTTTCATTAAAACCAAAATCTCTTTTCTGGAAAGTTAAAATCAACAGAAGAAAAACACACCCTTACTGAAGAGTTTGTGGATGTTGAAACATTGATTATTTATTTCATTTTATCACACCTGCTAGAGTCTCTAGGCCTGACTTGATAAGGCATAACTGTAAGGTGGTGGTTATGTGCTGTGGAGTCGGTTCTGACTCATAGCGACCCTGGAGTGTGCTAGGATTTGGTGTCAGAGCTCATACAGCTGTCTTCACTTTCCCAAATGGCATGCACAACCTAGCTCCTGGATTCTGAACTGTCACTGCTAGGTGGGCTTCTCACTCTACTTTACCCCTCAAATTGAACCTTTTGAGGTCAATATTGGCTTTTGGTTTGCTAAACTTAGAGGATTTTTGAAATGTAATCTGCTCTGTAGACAGAAATTTATATGATCACTTTAAGAGCGACCATTCCATTCCTATTGACCTCGTGTTTATTCCAAGCAGAACTTAATGTCTGTTGTAGGGGAGTGTTTTGTGATAGATTTCATTTGCAATTTGTATTTTTTACAGTTAGAAATAAAATTGCGGTAGACCATTGACACTTGGGAGATTTCACATTTTGAGCTTTCTGATGAAAATGGTTGATGAAATGGTGTGCATTTATCTTCACTGTCTTCCCAAGCTTTTCTAAAATGATAGAGATGAAATATTTGAAAAAAATCACCAGTGTCACAAAATTTGGGAAGTTGAAAAGCACAAGGACAGGCAGTGACAGGTGAAGAGTCTAGGAAATCTTCAGTGGTTTGTATGGGAGACCATCACCACTGGGTTGTAGGCTCTGAGGATCCTTGTGGGGCACTTAGGTAGCAGGAAGCTTGACCACAGCTGCTAGTTGGAAGTTAACATTCCGGTCAGGTAACTGCCTCCCTTGTAGTTGGGGTCTGATCCTCCCCCATTAAGGGAAGACTGGAGGTTCTTTAGGAGCCCTGGTGATGCAGTAGTTGAGCACTGACCTGCTAATGTAAAGGTTAGCAGTTGGAACACATCAGCCGCTTCACTGGAAAAACATGTGGAAGCCTGCTTCCGTAAAGATTACAGCCTTGAAAACCCTATGGAGCCGTCCTGTTCTTCCCTGTAGAGTTGCTGTAGAGTCTCTGTGAATTGGAATTGACTGGACAGCAATGGGTTTATGTTTTAGTCTTCGGAGAAGATACGTCTCTATGGGCTGGGGCGCTCCAGGGATAATCAGGGCAAACATGTATTCAGCTAGGTATATACCTCAGGGCAGAATCTTCAAATATTCTAAGAGAAGACAAATGTATTGCCATAACCATCCAGGCAAATGAACCCTTGGACAATGTCAGGGAGAAGAGCACCCAGAGGCACAGACAGGAGATTACTCACTGAGACATAAATATGAAAACATGATCTCAGAGAAAAAAGAAATTGTATCCATGAAACAGGAATTCCTAGAGGAAAAGAACATTGGAGAACAAAAGGTCTCTTGGGCATTAAGCATATTGTTGTTGGTGGTGTTAGTTGCTGCCAAGTACGTTCTGACTCATAGAAACCCATTGAATATCAGAACAAAACATTGTCTGGTCAGTCCTGTGCCATCCTCACAATTATTTTGAGCCTGCTGTTGTTGCTACTGGTCAATCCATCTTGTTGGGAGTCTTCCTCTTTTTTGTTGACCTTCCACTTTATCAAGCTTGATGCTCATAGCTAGGGATTGGTCCATCCTGATAATATATCTGAAGTGTGAGTGACAAAGTCTCACCATCCTGGCTTCTGACTGTGCTTCCTCCAAGAAAGGAGTGTTTGTTCTTCAGGTAGTCACTGGTTCTTTTAATATTCATCTCCAATATCATAATTCAAATACATCGATTGTTTTTCAGTCTTCTTTATTCCTTGCCCAATTTTCACATGTCTATGAGTCTATTGAAAATGCCATGACTTGGGATGGCTCACCTTAGTCCTCAAGCTGACATCTTTGCTCTAAACACTTTACAGAGGTCTTTTGCAGCGGATATGTCTGATGCAGTACTTCATTTGATTTCTTGATTGCTGCTTACATGAATGTTGATTGTGTGTCCAAGAAAAATGAAGTCTCTGACAGCTTCAATCTGTTTTCCATCGATCATGGTATTATTTATTGGTTCAGTTGTGTGGATCTTTGTTTTCTTTACAATGAAGTAAAGAAAACATACTGAAGTCTTTGGTCTTCTTTGATCTTCATCAGTATTTCAAGTTCTCTTTGCTTCCAGCAAGCAAGGTTGTTTTTGATGTTAAGTGCTGTAGAATCGGTTTGACCCATAGCGACACTGTATAGACTTTCCGAGGAGCAGCTGGTGAGCTTGAACCTCCGACCTTGCCATTCAAACCAACTTTGCAGTCCAGTGCATTAACCTACAGTTTGCAGTCCAGTGCATTAACCCGTAGTACCGCACAAGATTTTACATCTGCGCATTGCAGGTTGTTAATGACTCTTCCTCTTATCCTGATGCCACATTCTTCTTTATTTAATCCAGCTTCTCAGATTATTTGCTCAACACACAGATTGAATAAGTATTGTGAAAGGACACAACCCTGGCACACAACTTTTCTGCCTTTTGAAATTTTCTGTTCAGCTCTTTTACTTCATCAGTTTGTCCAGTTGCTTTAGCCTCTCTACACTCAAGAGCAAGAATTAGAGTCTCTTCTGGCGTCTGTTTTGGTCTTTCTTTCCTCTTTTTAACAATCGTTTTGTGACTTCATGTATGATATTCTTGATGTCATCACACAGTGTTCTGGTCTTTTATCATTAGTGTCTAATGCATCAAATCTTTTCTTTAGTTGTTCTCAAAATTCAGGTCAGATACATTCAGGTTCGTGTTTTGACTCTTGTGTACTTGTTTTAATTTTCTTCTTCTTCAGCCTGAATTTGCATATGAGCTCTGGAGTCCTGACGTGGTGCTGTGGGTTAATGCGCCAGACTGCAAAGCCGTTTGACTGTAAGGTCGGTGGTTCAAGCTCACCAGCTGCTCCTTGGAAACCCTATACAGGGTTGCTATGGGTTGGAATCGACTCGATAGCACTTAACAACAACAATAATTGATGGTCTATTCCACAGTCAGTCCCTGGCCTTGTTTAGCTTCTCCATGATCTATTTCCACAGATGTAGTCAATTTGATTCCTGTGTATTTCACCTGGTGAGGTTCAGCTGTATAGTCAGTCACCTTTTCTGTTGTTGATAAAAGGTATTTGCAATAAATAAGTCATTGGTCCTGCAAAATTCTATCATATGATCTCCAGCAGCATTTCTGTCACCAATGTCATGTTGTCCAACTACGGATCCTGCATCTTTGTTTTCAACTTCTGCATTACACTCACCAGTAATGATCAATGCATCTTGATTGCATGTTTGATCAATTTCAGATTGAAGAAGTTGGTAGAATTGTGCAGTTTCATCATCACTGGCTTTTGTGGTTGGTGCAAAAATTGAATAATAATGGTATTATTGGGTATTCTTGGTTGG